GGGAGGATGTGGGGGGCAGTGGGGGGAGGTGGAAGAAGACACGGAGGGAATGATGTGCTGAATAGTTTTGTTTTCCTTTAAATATTTTAGCCCATTGTCCAGGAATGCAGATAAATCACTTGGAAACAGTTTAAGCCTTTCGGTTTATTCCTCTAAGCTTTGGTAGGTGGAAGAATAGTCCAGAGCTTATGTTGCCCCGCTTCTGAGGTACAATCTTTCTGAATACTCTATTTGACATACATTCTGAGGTAGTTTAAAATTATTATTCTGGCTGTGGGAATAGAAACTGTTCTTCACTGTCCTTGAGCTTTGGAAAGGATTCGTTCTCACGGGGGCAGTTTTGTCCCCGGCCTCAGACGCTTCCTCTCACGGGTGCGCGCATCCGTACTCGCCTGGAAAGCTCCCGGGCACTCACTGCAGACCCAAGGACGCCTTCCCTGTGCACCCTCCTGCCTGGCACTGTCCTGTGAAACGCAGCCAGGCCCCTTACCGCCCCATAGCGCCTGCCCTACCCCTCAGGCTTCCAGAAACTGCAGACAGGCTGGGGCAGTAAGAGCACTCACCTCAAGTCCTCTGATATTGCAGAGATCACTGCGGGATCATTTCGTTGACTGATTGACAATACCTTGAAAACTATTACTATACAGGGTGTAAACATTTTTAGTTGTTTCACGTGATTACCTATTTCCACATCTTAGTTGGAAGCTGACCTTCTTGCATATATATTTCAGTAGAGTGAACAAAATTATAAACATTATTTTCAGGATTTAATAATGATTTAATAATATATCACCATTTATCCCATCTATGTCTTCTTCCACCCCCCCTCCCCGCCCCGGGACACACAGTCACCACACTGTTGCCCAGGCCCATGAGTATTTCTTAATTTTTAAAAAATTTATTTATTGAATTTTAGAGAGAGAGAGTGGAAGCCGGGGGGAGGGAGGGATAGAAAGATTTATTTGTTGTTCCGCTTATTTATGCATTCCTTGGTCGCTTCTTGTATGTGCCTTGACTGGAGATCGAACCTGCAACCTTGTTATATCAGGACTCTGCTCCACCCAACTCAGCTGCCCGGACAGGGCTTGTATTTGTTAAATTTTGTATGTGTTTTGAGTTTCAAAAAGTAACTTATTCCTATTAAATAACATATTAAATTGACCTCCCTCATAAATGTGAAATGAAGGACTACTGGAGGTAACCAGAATCAATATTAATGAAAATCAAGAGGTAGTCGGTGATATTATTGCCCATGAGGCAGCAGTGAAGGGCAAAACAGACAGCGAGACCAATCAAAGAAGGAAAATGCAGTGCACATGTGACATCCCTGGCGTCTGAAATGACCTTGGCAAAGTAACAATCAAATGATCAGAATGAAAGGAAAGATCTGAGTAAAGGAAATAAATTGCTTTTTAAATACACTGTGAATAACAATATAGAATGTAAAAAATAAAGTTACTTTAGTGTTAACCTGGTCCATCTAGTCTCTTGGCCAGGGGTTGAGATTGTTTATGTGATTTTTTTTTTTTTTTTTTTGTAGTAAAATACACAACATAAAATTTATCATCTTAACCATTTTTTGAATCCTCAGTAGAGGGCATGCTTATTCATGTTAGAGAGAGGGGAAGGGAGGGGGGAGACAAGAGAGAGAGGGAGAGACGGAGATTGATGTGAGAGAGAAGCATCGGTCAGTTGCTTTCCCGCATGTGCCCGCCCAGGGGCCGAGCCACAGCCTAGGCGTGTGTCCTGACTGGGAATCAAACCCACAGCCTTTTAGTGTGTGGGACACTCCAACCAGCGGAGCCACATGGGCCAGGGCTTAACCAGCCCTGACTGTACATTAGGTGGTACGAAATGTATCGATAACATTGTGCAACATTCAGTCTTGATAACTCCTTTCTTCTTGCAAGACTGAAACTTTATACTCATTTCACAGTAACTCCCTATCTCCCCCCCATGCCCAACACACACCACCAGTTGCTAGCAGACACCATTTCACGTTCTGTCTATAATTTTGAATGCCCTAGGTAATAATAAGTGGAGGCCGAGAATCTTTGTCTTTCTGTGACGGGTTTATTTTCTTTATCATAGTGTCCACAGGGTTCATCTATTTGCTTATCATTGATGGATATTTGAGCTGCCCCCACTGTTTAAATGTTGTGAGTGATGCTGCTAGGAGCTTGGAGGCACAAATATATCTCTTGGAGACCTTGCTTGCAATTCACCGTTCACCCCTTCCCCCCGAAGCTGCAGGCCTTCGAGAGGCCCCAGGGTTCCAGGATAGGTGCATGAGGCAGATTCTACCAGGACAGTCACTGCCTGGGAGGGGGACAGCCGCCTGGTGCTCGCTGCTTAGCCTTTTTCCCTAAATTCCCCCTTATGGTGATAGGTGTCACACAGAATGAAAAGTCGAAACAACAAAAGATGGTGAGTCTTAAGTTGAGAAGTTCTCTGCGAGATAGAGGGCCTGCATGTAACTTTTTTAATACTATATATTTAGGTCAGATCTGAATAATCAATTAATTGCTAAAGAGTAGCTTTTATGACAGTGGTAGAGATGGGATTTGGTTCTCATGCTGAATAAATCTGGAAGAATTATTGGTGCAGATTAATCTGAGCAACATGAGGGTCCCATGGTTAGTATCGCGTTGTTCTTTCGAATACTGGAAAAGAGCGTAGAGGCAGATTGCAAGACACAGAAAACATGGAATTGCTGATGCCACTGCTGATGAAAGGGAATTAAGCTGTCAAATGAATGGTGTCTTTGGCGCCTACATAACCAGTGAGGCTGATTGTACCGTGAGGGTGGACCAGAGCTTCCATATAGGTGAGAGTTCTGGAGCTTCCCTTCCCTACACAGCCTCGTGTTTCTTGAAGCTAAAGAATAAAAAAAGGAATTTACCAGAAAGCTTTGACTACTTAACACACACAGAATATAAGTCTTTGTAAAGTTCTTAAAACTGGTTGTTGTTTTTTAAGATAAAATCAAATATGCAAATGGTAGTTTTCAAAAGTTAAAGGAGAGTAGATGTGGGACTTATGAGAAGATACATTTGAATGAAATAGAATTGTAATGCCTTTTTAAATTATTTAATCCAAGTCAATAGCAAATACATAGCCAATGAGTTAAATATGCATAAAAATACTTTATAGTCTAAAACAGTGGCTAAAAAACTCCCTGAATGTCTTGGCATCTGAACTAGTGAACGTCTCCGAAAATGTAGATGCTGTTATACTCCAGAATGGTTCTAGGGTTATTCTTCAAAGTACTATGTAAGTATACAATATTAATATTATTCTGCTAACCTACACTGTAAAAACCCATATTTCATTAGCAAAAATCAATGGATCATAAGACATAGACTTTAAGATTTGTCCATTCTTACAGATCATCCAGCATATGCAGTGCACTAAATGGAAAAGAAAATTATGGTAAAGAATAAATAACTCATTTAGGTTAGTAGCAGTAATGGGACAACCACTGGGGCATGTGATTCTCGATTTGGAAGTATTTCTATGTACACAAATACTTTCCTGTACAGAAAATTTCTATTAGAGAGTTTATGTTCATTAAAATTCTCTCATGGGTTAAAATCTTCAGTGTTGTAATAAAAAAGAGTCATAGTGTTCTTACAACTACATTTGTAATAACCAAGTGAAAAGCAATACATTTTGATTAAAATGTAGTTTTTCGTAATTACAAGAGAAGGAAAATGGCATACAGAATGTTAAATTTCAATGTACTTAACAGGCAGAGTTAATATCTGAAAAAAAGTCCTTCTTATTATAATACTAGTAATTATGATGTTACTTTGGAGACAGCATGTCAGATTCTGCCCCTCATACCTAAATTCATAAGGGGAGAAACTTGATTTATTGTAATTAATTACTAAGATATATATCAGCTTCTCTTTTCACTATCAATGGCGATAACGCAGCATTAATGCTGACCTGAAAGCTATTGTGAGATATTTAATTATAATCACACTGGTAAATGGCTGCCTGGTCATACTGTTATATGTAAAAAACAAATCTATTCATATAATTAATTTGGGGAATATCATCTTGTCATATTAAATTGAAAATCATGAAAGTGTGCATTAAATAAAAATTTATGCTGTCCTTTGAAATTTGGCTTCTCTTATGGATGTTATTGATTTGTTTATTGCAAACAGTGCATTTCAGTAACAGTTTCAACAAGTACGAAATGTGCAGCATGTACAGTTTTTGCAATGTAATTAGTTAGAAATTGGAGAAGCTTAATTTTAAAATCGAATTGTTCATGGAAATCTATTTCATACTCTCTATGGCTTGAGCAGTTCCTCTTTATAAAATGCTCTATAGTTGTTTAAAGAAATTAAATGCAGTTAATCAGAAAGAACATTATGGTTTGACACCTAATTTGAAAGCCCTGTCTTGAAGCAGTGAACGATTGCTTATAGAATTACTATACTGATGAGAACCCAAATAGGAAATCCATTTTATGCTCCAAGTAGACCTCGCCATTGCTGTAAGTCAGGGTACGATAGTCTGTCTTTTTGTGAGCCCTATTTTATAAAAGTATATACTGTGTGTGTGTGTCTGTATGTGTGTGTGGATATGTATATACATATAATTATCCTAAAATGTCTATAGTTTGATAGAGTCAAAATAATAAAATAGCATTTGAGTGAATTATCTAATTATTCAATATCAGAAGGTAGATCAGTGATCTTAAAGTCATTTGAGATCAAATCAGCTGATTGATGTAAGTACAGATGTTGACTGTCAAGTTTTAAAGCTTAGTATTAACAACAACAAAAAGCCGTGGTAAAAACGTCCCAGTGGTATTGGTGGAATGTTCTTCACCTCTATTTATCTATGTTCACCTGTTTTTCAGTGCCGCCAGCAATCATAATGCCTCAGAAATCCTTTAATGCCACAGCAGAGAGAGGAGAAGAGATGACATTGTCCTGCAGGGCCTCTGGCTCTCCTGAGCCCACCATCTCCTGGTACAGGTAGGCTGGGCGCCCACATCCCTCTGGTCTGTGTCCTTAATCACCCTCCTGAAAAAATATGCAACCGTATCATTTTGTCAGGAAGGAAAGCGTTGTTTTTGACTTTTATTTTCAAAGTTATTATGCTTTTGCTTTCAGTTACATTGGTTAGATTAAATTGTTAAAAAGATCAACAGAGTGACTTAACCCAAATCAAAGGACACCTATGCCCTGGCGGGTTTGGCTCAGTGGTTACAGTGTCGGCCTGGGGACTGAAGGGTCCTGGGTTCAATTCCAGCCAAGGGCATGTACCTTGGTTGCAGGCTCGGTCCTGCAGGAGGCAACCAATTGATGTGTCTCTCTCACACTGATGTCTCTCTCTCTCTCCCTTCCACTCTCTCTGAAAAGCAATGGAAAAAAAAAATATATATATATATATCTGCAAGATGCACCCATAGCCCTGGTCATTCGTCTATAAGGATGCTTCTTTTTCTCATGCATTTATTTGTTAAATTGCTCACTTAAATTTTTTTTTGCATTTCATTTTTTAAAGTTTATTTTCGATTACAGTTGAACTTATATTATATTAGTTTCAGGTCTAAAGCATAGTCATTAGACATTTATATAATTGACAAAGTAGTGCCCCAATAATTCGAGCACCTCCCTGGTGCCACACGCCTTATTGCGCTCTGATTGACATCCCCTGTGCTGTGCTTAACGTCCTCCCGATTATTTTGTACCTACCAAGCCTTACCTCTTAATCCCTCACCTTTTCACCCAGCCCCTCAACCCCCGCCCTCCTGGCAACCCTCAGTTTATTCTCTGCAGGTATCAGTCTGTTTCTGTTGTTTTGTTTGTTGTTTGTTTTCTACAAGGCATGTTTCTGACCCACAAAATCCAGCCACTATTACCTGGTTTGTTACCCTTTAATGATGTTTTTAAATTGAGCTCTTGAGGGGGAATCATAGTCTATACAGACTGATTTCCTCTAAATCCTTTGAGATCTGCCCATCCACTTCAGATGTCAAATCATGGACTTTTTTTTTATCACTTGAAAATTCCCAGAGCAGGCCAGCCGCCTTCTCTCTCTTCTCCCCGCTATGGTAGATCTCTTCTCATCCTGCCTAAACACAAACCCCAAAAGTCATTCACTCGTTAACTCTGTGACTGCCAATCATACTGACTCCTTCATGGTAAGCGCCCGTGTCTCTCTCATGCGCTATTCTTCCCGCATTCAGGGCCGCATTTCACGGGAGGTAGGGAAATAACCCCCCTCCCCGGAAAGAACCCTGCAGCTTACTCTGTCGCTTATGTGACTGTGTGACTTGAGGGATGTGGAAATCATACTAAAAATTTCAGCTGTAATCTGTGAATGAGGGTAGAGAGGGAAAATACACATCCATGGGCTACTTGTGAGAATTCAGCCAGGTAAATGATACAGGCAAAGTGTTGTATGAACAACAAGTTACTGCAACTTCCAGTGTGTTATTATTATATTAGTAATAGTAGTATGCAACAAAGGAATATTTTTCACCGAATAGATTGAGAAAGATATTGTATCACCAACTACACTGAAAGCCCTATTTACACATGAAATCATTTCAGCTGAAATATTGTCATTTTTTACAGTTGTAAATATTGGATTAGTAAAACTATGAAAAAAACATAAAAGTAGAAAATACTATATATCCATTTGCTATTAGTAGTTTATAAACCCTAATTGTGCATTCTACCCTTATGATGATTTTGCACATTTCATGATACATTTAGAGACGTCAATAGAAACTAAAAACATGTTATTGAATTATGGAAGGATGAAGATTATATAAGATATGTGGAGTATTTTCTGGGAAGCACAACCAAAATTCACTGGACAGATCATTTAGAATATCAGAGAAATGCTATGTTTTAATAAGGAAAATATTTTTATAATCCTTTTAGAGTTTTTTTCTTTTTAAATTTATACTTGCATGGCCGCCCCTAAGAACAGATCCTAAACTTTTTACATCAGTGGACCTTAAAATCTATCCAATCACCTGAAACACCGTTATAAGAAACATGTAGAAGGAGAGACATGCAAAAGAGAGGAAGGGGGGTGGAGAAGGAGAAGGTGAGAGTAAAACAGAACGAAAGAGAACTTGCAGCATGAGAAGCTTTCCCACATATCAAGGGGAATTGTGGAAATTGTTTCCGATTTAAAGACATGTAAAATATTTCTTACTATCGTTATTATAAAAAGGTGGGAAAGACATTGTCTTAGGGGACAACAAAGGCTAGGATTAGAGCAGAATGAATATGGCTTCAGTCCAGAACGAATATGGAAAATATTAAAAATTATTTAAACCTAAGAGGGAAATTATTTAAAAAGTTATTTCTCCTCATCAGTGAATTAAATCATTATATTCTGCATAATTCTTCTAACTGCATTTTCACATAATTCCTTCATCTTACCTTTTTATTGGCAGTATTTATTTTCAAAATGAATTGGTTATGTATTTAAGTTGCATTTACTTAGAAATTTCTTTAAAGGAATTATTGGGCTACTAGAAGTATACTTTGTATTGGAATATAGCCTTGTCTGTCCATAGCCATGAAATGATTGACAACTACAGATCGAAAAGTTGACTATGATTTTCTCCTGAGTTGTGAAGTCAGATTTATGAAGATCAACCCCTATTTTTTTGTTTGTTTATTTGTTTTTCTTTAGGAATGGCAAGTTCATTGAAGAAAATGAAAAGTACATATTGAAAGGAAGCAATACAGAGCTCACTGTGAGGAACATAATCAATAGTGATGGGGGCCATTATGTCTGCAGGGCCACAAACAAGGCAGGAGAAGACGAGAGACAGGCATTCCTCCAAGTCTTTGGTAAGTGTATAGCAGAGCGGTTAACATGCGATGTCGAGAGGGATGTCCAGGACTCGGTCACTTTTATGAATTGTTTAACTTTCCAAAATTAAATCTCAGTTTTCTCATCTCTAAAATATATTTTGAAATTACAGCTATGAGATATAATTGTTTTAAGAATTACATGAAGTTATACGTGTAAGTTTTTTCTAAAATATTGGCTGACTCAAAACAGGGGCTTAAAAAAATTCATTTAAATTACACTACTGGGATCTCTTATATAGCTATATGGGTTGATCTTCATAAATTTTTAAATGAAATATGTTGGGACCAGCTTTACTTTCATTATACTTCAAAAGGACACCTGTATAAGGTTGTAATTAGAACACATTGACCTGCAACTTAAATTAAATATTCTCATTTCATTTTATTAAAAGGAAATATAATATAAATATCTTCCATAATTACCAAAACCCATATTACCTTCTTTGGTGATTTTATAGAAAGTAGAGAATAAGTGTGTTTCTTTTTAATTATTTATTTCACTTTCATTATGTTTTCAAGAAGAAAAACAATTTTGCTGATGAACAGATGAGTGTTGTCTTTAAAAAGCATACCACTAAAATTATATGCAGTACTAACATTTAGTATAGCTTCTCCATTTCTAAAACACTCTTGACAAAATACTTTCACAACTGAGATGGAAAAGGAAGGAGGGAGAATTCTGTAAGAGTTAGAAGGAACAGTGTTTGCCGCAGGCAGATGCAGGGGTACTGTGGCCACAGAGCAGAAGCCGAATGGTAACACGGGGACAGGTCCTCTGCCAGCGGGTCCTGTACCTCGTAATAGAAATATTTTCTGAACCAGAGAACTTTTCATAAAGCTTGTATCCTGGCGGAGTGAGACAGGCAAAGACTACCAAACATATTAAAATAATTAAATAAAATTGGAATAACAAAATATTCTAAGAAGAAAGTGAAAAAAGGGTAAATCAAGTAGTGTTGGGTCAAGAGGGTTATTATTTTGCATAGCACAGTGTTGGAAAGTTACTGAGAAGGGTAATGATTAGATGTCTCTACCCAAAAGTCTTTACTGACAAGATGTCAGCAAAGCTGAGTCAGGAGAAACTAGTTCATAGAGGGAAGAATCAAGAAACTTAAAATTCTTAGAAATTATAGAAAGCCCATAATTTGTTTCAGCAGTATTCCTCACTTTAAAAAACTGTTCTCTTTAAAACCTATGACATTAAATAAACATGACTCAGTATGAAAGAATAATTAGTTAGAAATGATAGTGTCTGAAATAATTCCAAAGGGTAATGTTCTCTATCTACCTCAATAGATTCATATCAAATGTTGTTTATTTACTTGTTATTTATTAGAGTGGTGGTGAGTGAGAACAAATGCAAATAAAGTTTCTAATATTTTCATATTTTCAAAAGAAAATAATACATGAAATAGTCTATGCTACATCACTGCCATAATCGCTTTTTTCTATAGTAACACTGAACAAATTTGTATTGTGTTTGACAGAAAATCATATATATATGTATATATTATATATATTTTATATATACATATAATGGAAATGTAACTAAATCCATTACATCAATGGAGTAAACACTGAATTGTTAAACATTATATATGCTATATTTCTGATATCAGGAATCATGTTCTAAGATTAAGAACTACTTATATCTTGTGATTAATTGCACTTAAATATTTAAAAATACCTGTTACTTATCCTTAAATAACAAGTGCTGGGTTTTACCCCTTTTATGTTCGAACAAGTAAAGATTTAATAAGTGCAGATAATACAGAGTTTATAAACATGAAGCTCTGTGGTATTATGTAAATTTGTGGATGGACACATTTTTTAATGTTAAGATAAATTAAATTAGTAGACATCACGATTTTTTTCTTTTTAAAGAAGTCATAATTATAAAAAATACTTAGCGATAGTGCCTAATAATATTGTTGAGGTAAAATGAGTCAGAATAAATAAACTAGGGTGACATAAATAAATGGCATTTTGGTATCCTTAGTTCATAAATATTTTAAATATTGTACTAATTACACTTAACTACACAATCGGGATACAGTCATCATGTTTCCTCTTCGGTGAAATTGTTCAAAGCCTAAGAGATCATCACTCACTAAGTGGATGCCCCACACACTGACATACACATGTGGCTTTAAAAAGAGAAAATTGTCATTTGTGTTTTCATAGGAGAGCTACATAATAAAGGGAATCTTAAACTGGAAAAACGTTGGAAGGAATTAGCATTTGCATGCTGGTGCGTAAGCCACTTGAGGTTATTTCGCAGTGACGGTCGATGGGAATTATATTCTGAAAATGTGTGCCCCTGTCCCGTGCAAGCTGGGCCCGCTGCGTGCAGAGCCTGCTGCGCTCACCCGGCGGGCAGGCTCGTGTGCCCGCGTGTGCCCGCGTGTGCCCGCCGCGGCCTCGGGGCTGGGCAGTCCCCTTCTCCCCAGTGCAGCCGAGTGACGCATGTGTCCTTACAGTGCAGCCTCACATAACACAGCTGAACAATGAGACCACGGCTGAGAGCGGCCAGGTCACGCTCACCTGTGAGGCCGAAGGGGAGCCTCTTCCCGAAGTCACCTGGAAAAGGGCCGCCGACGGAGTCACGTTTTCCGAGGGCGACAAGGTAACCGCGGCTCAGTGACACGCACCGGTTTGCAGTGTCAGCGTCGTCTCAGTGTTTGCATGTGACTGAATCTCGCGTTGGACTCCAGTTTACCAAATAATTTGTAAGGGTGTAGCGAGTGGTTAATTTTTTCAAAAGGTAACTCTGCCACACTCAGCCTAAAACTAAATTCAAAGGGGAAAAAAGTCAAAGTGTAATATTTAAAGATTTTTTTATTAAGCAACAAAATATTAAGTTGCTGGGATTCTTGCCAGATTGACTTTCGGGTGTACACTGAATGTGTAAAACGTCTTATGGCAGTTTTAATCCCCCCTGTGCTGTGAAAATGAAATAATTCAAATTCACAAAAGTCATTTCCCTCTTTATATTGTCTTTGTTCAGTACGAAAGTAGGTTTCTGCTTTCATATAATTTAGAATTTAATAAGATAAATAAGTACAAATGTGAATTGTGATCTTTCACCAGAATGCATGCAAGTTACTTAGGAATCAGTTAAACATCATTATATGTTTCACTGCAATCCATGGGTTTTCATAATGGTTATTTTTATCTACTCATATAAAATCCAGGTTTAGACAGAAGTGAAACTGAAAGGAAAAGGTAGTGAACTGATGATATGAAGGCCTGGCGTTTTCACACATGTAAAAATTGTAACAGGAAGCCGATCGATTGCTTTTATTTTCTCAGTGTGAAAGACAAACTTCCTTTAAACCGCTTACATTAATTTAAATCAGTTTCTGAAAAATAACCCACAAAATGTTGAAATATGTTCTTAGTAGCTGTTTTTTCTAAATTTTCCTATTAGTTAACTCCAATGGGCTCAAATCGTTTCATTCGTTCATGAAGTTAAATACCTGGAAAGCGCTGTTAGGTGCCTTTACCTCCCACCCCTTCCAGGGACAGAGCCACTTGGAATCGGCACCGACCATAAAAAGCCATCCTTTGGTTAAGCTCCTCAGAAGAGAAAGGCCCATGGCCTTCCTTAGTAACTGTTCTACGTCCCTTACCTCTTCCTGTCAGTATTTTCTAAGGCTTAACGAAAATTCTGAAAATAATTTAAGTTGATGTTATTTGTTCATTCGGAAGCAGACGTAACAGTTATTTCCAGCAAGTCGCAATGCGAGCCTCTGTAAAGCGTGTATTTGAGTTAGACACGGATCTTGCTGTCGTAAAGGTTTTAGCTTCCAAAGGAGATAAGCTAAGTAATTAAACAACCATGAAAAGTAAAAAAAAAAAAATTCTGCGGAAGTCAGTAATCTCTAAAATATACATAGCTTTGATTTCCAACATTGATAGAAAAAACTGAAATCAGTTTGTTCAAAATACACTTTCTATTCCCTCAACTCATCATATCATTTTAAACAACGTGCTAACTCCATAAATTGACAGCACAGCCCACTCCCTGTCCATTTACAATTTATCTTTTGAAAGAATGTATTCTCACATATATCATACTTCTTTGCCTCTTTCCTCTTTATGATGGTATATTTAAGATAGTATATCTCTTTGGTAATAGTTATTTTATATATGCAAATTAAAAATAAATAAAATTTATAAAATATGCATATTTATAGAATTTTTAGAAACCCAGAGAAACAACATAGTTTGGTTTAATATTTTTTAACAGAAAATCATAGGTATAGTTATGGCACAGTTGGCAAATCTGAAGGAGTTATAGTTTCATAAAAATGATTAAAATTGTCAAAAAGCAATCTGATGTAAAAAACTGTAGGTAAATGTCGATTTAGTACATTTCAGAAGACGAGATTACTCCAGTGTGATTTTCATGTCTGTAAGCTCTTATTAATTGTACCTTCATATTTTCATTACTTTCCTGTCTACTGTAATATTCCTAAAAGTGATCTTCTTAAAGATAGCTTTTACTCTTTATTTAAAAGATGGTCCTTTAATATATACTACACTCTTTGCCCCAGGCCACCCAAACCTATTTACAGAAATTTGTTCTATAGGAATTGTGAAAAATAGTTTTTGTTTGCTAAGAACTATATCAAAGTAGACATTTAAAAAAATTTTCTTTTGTACTTGGCTCATTTGTTACAAAACAATTATGGAAATCTAAATATGCTTTTCTTTTTATAAATAACATCGTTTATCCAGTGGAAATTAAGAACATTAAGGCTGCTTTATTCTCTTTCTATCATGATAGTCGTCCAAAATTATTTTAAGGTCCCCATTTTATTTTCTGGATGGTAAGCCTTTTTTCCCTCTTAACATTCCTAGTTTCTTTAACAGCCAGAATTTAGAAATTGAAAGGCTGAGTGGAGCTTTAAAGGGAGACAAACCTAGTTTTGCATCTCAGCTCTGCCACTTATAATTCTTCGGTTTTGGCAATGTTATTTGAACTCTTTTTAAGATTTTTTCACCTTTAAAACTGCGATAATGATACTTATTTTCCATGTTGTGTTAGAGAGGTGAAGGTGCCTTGTAAAATGCATAGCAGTGTCTTTAGAATATTGTAAATAATAAACTGTATCTTTTTATCATGTTACATAATTTTTGAAGCATAAGTTTATCTTATTTCTCTTATTCTGAGTAAAATCGGATTAATAGACTCCATAAAGTCTGATACCTAAAATCTGATTAAGTATTAACAGATCATATTGAGATCGTATCTCTTTGGTCTTAAAAATTAATATGAAATTGCATTTGCTATAAGAATCACTTGGAGAGCCTGTTAGAATGCAAATTCTAGAATCCCACACCCAGAGGTTGATTTAGTAGCTTACATCTATAGCCTTTTCACTTAATAGATGATATATACTTCATTGTATTAATATTTAAATGTATACAACAAAGTTCAGTAAGAACCAAAGCGATTATTGTGGAATATGCAACAGCCATGAATTAAAAGTTATAAACTGTTTTGCAACTTTCAAACGAAGCAATCTAATTATCTTTTTTACTTTAAAAATTTTTATTTTAAAAACAAAACCGTGCTTCTTCACAGGTTCGATCTGAGGTTTGGGTAAGAGTGTATGCCTGAAGAGTTTTGATATCGTTCCTGGCGTTAGCATTTATCATCTATTCCGAACCTGCTTCTTTAGATCGTCCCTTATTGTCATTCTTATTGATCAACAAGTGTTAGTATGTGTAAGATTTCAGGTGTTGATAGATTAGTATGGGGAAGTCATGCAAGTGTCACACAGGTCAAAGTTTACTCCTGTCTGTGTCACCTTGGTGTGTTATTTACCATGTCGCTTCTCATGTCTGATATTAGCTTCTCTGTGTAAATCTGGGTAATAATAAGACGTAACTGGAAAAAGCTTCTGAAGATGAAATGAGAGCACAGATAACAATATCCAGACACAAACCCCACAACTTAAAAAGGTTGTTTTTTTTTTAATACTTGGAGATTTCCAGTTTTTAGATGTTTTTTACTGGATCATTTAGTACGAGAAAATGATCATACTAATTATGTGTCAACATCTGCTGCCACAGAATGAACCAGACTGAAATTTCAATGATCAGAGTCATATGTGAGGTGTTAGTAGTATTGTCCACAAGTACAACAGGACGTTGTTATCCCTGCTGTAGATTGTTCCCCCTTGGTGCTGCTGTACGTGGGCCTTTATGATAAAATAACCTCTGGCAGTATCAGTTTAATGGCTCATATGAATTTGTTTTTGCCACATGAAATTCCAGATCTGGTAACCTATGCTGCATTCCTCGTGGAAGCAGACAGTGCCGGGAATCTGCATTTGTGTCGCCTTGTCACTGCATGCTAACGGGAGCGCAGTGAGGGCCCTAACATCTGCCGGAGGACAGGTCCGCAGGTGATAAAGGCTGGTCTTCCTTCCTGTGGGACACAAATCAGGGCCAGAAACTTCACAGACTTTTTTTACATCATCAGCTCCTTCTTCCCTTTCTCCCAGGTCTCTCTTCTCACAACGCCCTGAAATTTTTTCTCTTAGGAAGTGAGTCACTCTGGGGCCTCCTTTGGGGCCCTTTTACACCTCCGTCTACACAGCAATAAATACTGAGTTGGAATGGACTCTCCCATATCCAAGAAGTGCCTAAACCCGTGATTAAAGAAGGAGAGAAGAGAAAAGCTGTGTCCATACAGCAAGGCTGCTGAACAATCAGTTGTTTTTCATACACTTTCAAAATACTATTTTATATTCATATGACAAAACTGATTTCTCTTAAACATTTTTAAAGGAATGTTGTTACTTGTCATTTAGGATTAAATGGAAGTAAAAAGATCTAGAGGGAGTTATTTTTACCTCTAGAATTCTTACAAAATGGTAAACTTAACGGTAAGCAATTTCATCCATGTGAACAGAATGTTTCATAAAGTAATGATAAAGTTCTTGTAATACTGTCTAGTGGATGACACCTCTCATGTGTCATTTATCTGCTCTTCACATGCAGATTCTGTAACCATTCTATCCCTGCTATACTTTTCCTATGTAGTAAATTGTAGTCCTACCTCTACTAGAAATTACTCTCACTCTACACTGAATAAGAAGTATTTGAAATGTAGAGCAATAAGTTATAACTATTTTAAAATAGAATTTCTCACACTTCAGTCATTGGACCTTTAGCTTCTTCTTTATTCTTTATTTACATGCTGCCTGGGCTGTTATAAACATAATATTGTTGTCTTTAAATTTAATTGGTTTTTCATTTATTATTAATCTAACCAAAAATTCATGTGAAATCAAAAGCGTGATTATAGATATTGTATTTTTAAATACACATTAGAATAAGTATAAAACTGTAAAATAAAAATTATTTTTTAAAGTAATACCTAGATTCAGCACGTGCACCTTCGCTGGTATATAGACCATGCTTTTCAAACACTGCTCTTGTGTCCAGTATGCTTTGGATTAATGTGATACAAAGTTTATTTATGAAGTTTCGAGGAGTGAAAGATATTTATTTCAATTATGGCAGAACCCATTTCCTGTCCTCCTATTTGTGGAGCCAAGCACTTCTCTGCAGTAAATAAATATGCTGCATTATTAATGAATGGGTAAA